ATATCCAAGGACCAGTGGTGGGTTTCAAAAAATTTTGGAACCTCTTCTGTAGGTGTGGCCTGCTTTCCGGGTCCACTGGTGGAACCTCTTCTAACCAGTTTGGTAGATTTGATGCACTGGTTTTACCGAATAGGTGTGAACTGGTAGGAACCCACCTCTGATTTTAGCCCATAGTTTCAAAGGGGGCATCTTAGAAAGAACTGTAGACTTAATTTTATTTCTTTCTAAATACTAGGGGGGCGGGGGGGAGAAAAAACTATTCCTTTAAGCATATCATTAGGAAACAAAAGCCTTGCCTATTATTGAAACTCTAAAAGCTAGCTCAATATTTTATTATCTGAGCTGGATTGATTAAAAAAAAATATTGTTCTAATGTGCCTTATTGATTTTTTTTTCTCCCAATACTTAATGTTATTTTTTTCTTTGTTTTTTTTAACTTATTGTGAGAAATTCATTTCACACTTTGAGAAACACAGTTTAATAACATAACCGATATAAATTAAAGTGTCCACTACTTACAAAAACAGCAACATGAAAACCTGAGGTAAATGATTATAACTGGTAGATAGTCTAAATTGCTACATGCACATAGACATACATTTTATATACTCATGTGTGAACATGCAAGAAAGCATGTCAGAACATTTCCATATGAACAGGATGAATACCATCTGAAAGCTTAAAAGTTATGTAGAGAAATTCCACATAACTTCCTCGACGGACAGTAATAATTGAAAACTAATTGAAGAGGAATTTAAAACCATTGTGACATAAGTAGCTACTGGGCCAATCCCAAATTCAATAATCCTCATTATTTATATGATGAATAATGTATTAGCCCAATCCATGTGTGGATATTTAGTATTCCTAAAATGCATGGCCATTTCACTACTAAACAATATTACTATACATTTCAATAATTGCTTATCCTAAGTGGTTTCCCCACTTAGAATAATTGTCATTTGCTTCTATCCCTATCGTGAATTGTGATTAAACTCCATAGAGTGGAGCCTCTGTCTGTTTCAAAGAAAATGTTAGTGGAAAAAGCAATGTACAAAATATACAAGTAATGCCAGCTTGCACTGGTTAATCATTGTCACAGAAAAAGAATACTTACTATAAATTATTATAATAATTTAATTATTATATCATTCTATGATTACACGTTGCAAAAGAAAAATTCAAATAAATGAATGTTAAGTTTCAAAGAAAATGTTATTCCATTGTACCCCAAAAAAAAAAAAATGATATTGAAGTTATTGAAAATAGTTAGATCAGATTAGATGGATTTTGTATAAGGTAACTTCATATATTCCACCAAGGTGAAGGAAGCTGGCCTTTTCTGTTGTCACCTTGACTTTTGGAATGCCATAACACTTGCACCCAAAATCTGGCTGGTCCAAATTCTGCCAGTATTTGGAAGGTCTTCAGAACATGTCTCTTTTTGCCAGGCATGAGGAGTGGGAGGGGTTCACCGACAAATGCGAGCTCGAAAAAAGCGCGCCGATGAAACCGCGGCAAGAAAACCGTGAGGTCGAAATCGTGCCGACGAATGAGCGCAGAAGCACGCCGACAACAGCGCGCTGACAACAGCGCACCGACAAAAGCGCGCCTTCCACAAAGAACTAATAACAACCTAATAACCCTAACCCTAACCCTAACCCTAACCCTAACTCTAACCCTAAACCTAACCTTAACCCTAAACCTAAACCTAACCCTAAACCTAACCCTGAACCTAATCTTAAACCTAACCCTGAACCTAACCCTAAAGCTAACTCTGAACCTAACCCTAACCCTAACCCTGAACCTAACGCTTACCTTAACTTAAATCACGCTTTTGTGGGCGCGGTTTTGTCGGCACGTTGTTGTTTATGACATCGCGGTTTTCTCGCCGCGGTTTCGGCGGAGCGTTGTTGTCGTGCGCGCATTTGTCGGGTCACGGTGGGAGGTTAATGAGGCTTATGAAATGGGTGAGATGGATCGTTATTGTGAATGCTGCTGCCCCCATTTTCCACTATTTGTAAATTTACTGTTAACTTTTATTGTTTTATTAAGTTTTTAACATTGTTAGCCACTCAGAATCACTGTTGCCAGATGAGCGGCCAAATAAATGGATGAAAGAAAACTTTTTTTTTTAAAAAAAAATGATATGCTGGTAGGACTTTTCATTACTGT